TTTTTTTAACGATATTTAATTTGACATTAAGAAAGGTTTGGCCTAGACTGTTGGATTGACGTTTTGACAATCATCGCGTCAGCCGCTCATTTCTTTCCATCGCGGTTCCCGACTCTTCTCTTCCACGTAAAAGCATGGTCGGATTGTTATTGTTGCCATTCTTTTGTACATAGTCACTAAGAGCTTTAGAAAAGTCAGGGTGGGTCTCATTACGTTTACGCTTTCGTTGCATCCTGATTTGCGCATCGGCGTTCTTTTCAGCTAATGCAGCAATGTCATTGGTTGCGGGACGATAATTAGATGAACGGCGGGACTCATCAAACGCTGCGTTTTCTGACGTGTCAATGACTCTAAGCTATCATCGCTGCAGCCCCTTCTCTATGAACAAAAAACTATCCAAAAGCCGTGTGGACACACGACCAAACTGAAATTATAAAGCGCAAAGGGACAGACAGGAATATGAAGTTTAGTCTACTTCATGCACTCGCCTGTCCTTTCCACTTCATAATTTTACTATGTAGAACCAAACTAGACCACATGATCAAAGTTAAAAAAAAAAACTGACGGCTCGATTGAATGACAAATATACTTTTTTTAATTAACCCATATGCGGGAGACACCTTCGGTACAGCAAATAGCAATGGCAGAGTACGCGGGGAAGTTGACGTAATAAGGCCTAAAATTTTCTTTAGACCGCCGGTGGCAGGGGCTCATATTTTTACATGTGCGTTGCGTCACTTTGCAGCGGGGCAGGGACGGCGCAAAGACGAAACAGTACACAGCTCTGACTAGAAACTGGGGGTTTATCTCGCTCACTCCCTGTACATAAACAAATAGGCGAAAGTCGAATAAGCAGAGTGCGAAGAAGGAAGTAAATAACACGCTTATGGGGAGGCACTTCTCTTTGAGGCACAAATATACTAAGAAAACACAATATTTAAATGGCATTTTTTGAAGAATGGCAGGCACTTATCATCTTGTTTTGAAGGATATTCGTGAAATAAGTCTCTCTTATCTTGAAATATTGTGTTAGAGACAAAGTAAAATGGATCTGTGGATGTTTCTTTTTATTATATCTGAGTGAACTATTTACAGCCTTTATTATGGAAGTCATATATCTCCACTTGCACATCATAATGTTTTCCTTCTCTGGTAGGTGTGTGTGTATGACATATGCAATAAGGGGTACAAGTATATTAAATGGTATCGGGCTTTTTTTTAGGTGTCTTTTAGGCATACTCCAATAAATCATTTTGAAACTGGAAAGATCAAACGTACCCTAAAAGGCTTATAAAGGATCCTAGAGCTTTCATTGGTGCCTTATTAAATTCCACATACCTTTTAGTTCACTGAGGTTTGTTTATTTTCTTATTTCAGTATTCTAATCTCTCTTAATCCTTCCCATAATCTTTGCGAATAAAATTTTCAATATTAACAAAACTAATTAGGTTACATCAAAACCAAGTACATATTTGTAGCCAGATTGTAATGAAAAATAAACTGTGTAAACTTCATTACAATTGAATCACAAGTTATATAAAAGAAAAAAGCTCTACAAGCAGTGTTTCCCCTTAAAATCTCAACATTATTTTTGATAGATTACACTTCGGGTTCCGTGTGTTCGGTATGTACCGATAGACATCGAAAATTAACATCCGGGTCGGTGTCTCCGCTTTGATAAAAACCGAAAAAACACAACTTTAAACTGTCATTCAGCGAAATAAAAAAATAAAAAAGCAATGCCAGTTTTACGGGAAGAAATCTTCCAGCCAATTTTTTCTTCTCTCGTTGGCCCGAAACTCAGCTGCGAAGAACTGTCCTTTGGGTTGTTCCTCTCTATCGAAACCACATTCCTTGCACCGTTCCCTTCTCTCATGTTTACCATCATTACCAGAGAAAATATTACAATTTATACATTTTAATATTTTCTCCACTAATTATACAGTCGATTTACAACATAAGCCCGATAAACACGGACTTATCTCCGGCATTAAAATTAGACACCGAAAAACACCGACTCAAATGGAAAACATAAACATTGATAAATAACCCCCCGTATTTTTAAAAAAATCAACACCGAAAACATGAAACCCATATGCTGTGCTGCGATGGCACCGGTCTTTAACACGAGCCAGTCGTCAACAAGACTAGACCAAACAAAACCTTTTAGCAGCTAGGGTTTGGGAAGCTTTCTTCGCTGGTTACCAAATCTTCTTATCTAACGACGTTGTTACTTTTCGCCATTTCTCGAGCATGTTTTTTTCGTTATTTTTTTTTTTCTGGGAGTGGAGGTAAGGGTGTAACCGGTGTGCCCTCGGTCTCTTGCAGCGTCGTGGGCGGGCCAGATGCATCGCCGAGGCGGCCGTCCCTCCCCGGTGACGAGCCGAGGCGGTCGCAGGGGCACCTCCAGGGGTCCCTGGCTCCTCTGGCTCCTGCTGCCTCTGCACCTCGCCGCCCTCATCCGCGCTCAGAGGTGAAGGGGCGCCGAGCCCCTGTTCGTCTTTCCCTGCGCCTTCCCTGTCGCCCTGTTCGTTTTTTACAGCGGAGCTGTTAAGGGCTAGTTTCCCCAGTATCGTGTCCGCCAGCAAACAAATGATGACACGAAACTCTGGACAGCTACCGCCATCTATGAGCGAGAGCGGTAATCAGAAAGCCGGCTTGCCGCGGTTGTCTGGTTGTCGCTGTCGCTCATAGATGGCGGTAGCTGTCCAGCCTTTCCACTCGGGCTTGCCGACTTGAGGCCGGCCGTTACTTCATTCCGACCATAGTACAGCTTCGCTGGTCTTCCTTCTTCACCAGAATGGAAAGGCTGAGAGCTGCTACCGCGTATAATAGATCGCCAACTCACGCAAGTCTCAATCTTAAAGGAACTATGAAATTAATTTTGGGCTGGGATAAATGATTTTAGATTTGGATTATTTCCCTGATCGCGTATCGTTTAATAGTAAAAAATTCACACACCAAAACAAAAATTAGCACACGAGTTCCTGGAGTCAAGAGCCTGCTTTTCGGCATGAAAATTTGAAAATATAGCAAGCGATATCTTGCCTGCTTTCCTTCGCAACCTCTCCGCCTCTTCACTGTGCTGCATACGCAGTGCTCGAGCACGTCAGCCAAACCCAGCTCACGCATTGGACACGAGCAATGCGTCGCTCGGACGCACGCGCTCGTCAACGATCCATCGGTCGACGAATATTAGGATTCGAGTTTCATGGCCAATGAGTGCCGTAACAGTTCTTATCCCCACTTTCGAACAGCAAGTTTCATGCTAAGCTTAAAAAGCACAGTAGAAGTTTGGAGCCACCGTATCATGTGAAATACTCTACATCTCGATCACGTGATTTCTCACTTTGCTTTTGAGTTGAGGAGAAAAGCTAAGGAGGTAAAGCTTTTAAAATCATTTTCACGGTCCCTCTAAACAACCAAGCACGAGTGTGTTTTTTTTTTTCTTTTTTTACTTTTTTTGGTGAAATAGGTGTCCTCTACAAAGACGGTCACCTCGAAACATCCGCGCCCTGGCAGCAACGCTGTACGTTTTTCGTGTGTACTGACACGAGCTGTCTCTTGTCTGTCAAGCGACTTCCGGCAAGGGCACCTAGATATTGAGAGGACCTACTTGCTAGCCGCCTTGGTGGTGCCTCGGTAGCTCCTCAAAACTACACTGTACTTTTCGTGTCTTTTTTTGTTTCTCGGTCCCGGGGTTTCGCTGTGTGGAAAATACGATTCCTCTGCTGCCTTCTACTTACATTTTTTACCTGTAAAACGTTAGATTTTTTTTTTTGACTAGGTAACGCTTTAAAAGGCTCAAGGTACACCTAAGCACATCTTATAAGTTGTGAATGCAAAAGCATTCATGCCGCTCTTCCGCTCCCTTCTTTCGTCGACGGTCGGGCGCGCGCGCTGTCCTTGGCGCGCTTACGCGCCTTGGCGTGCAGCGGTGGAGCCGCTGCCTCGCGGAGACGCAGCGCCTTGGGGTGGCGGTCGTTGAAACTGACGCGCAGCGGCCATTGGGAGCCTTGCTGACGCGCGCCAGCCAATGGGACCGAAGCCGAAATCTATCAGCTTTACTCCGCTCTTTTGGGATCGGGGAAACTAGGTGCCGTTGTCTAGGCTTTTCGCGTGGTTTAAGACGGAAAACGTGAAGGAAGGCATAAACAGAACAGGCTACGTCTCAAACTTTTGTACACGCCTTGTACTATACCACGCCTACAACGCTTTATGTTCGCGAAGGGCAAGACCGTGGTTACGCTGAGCTGTCACCCTTTGTGTAATTGTTTCGTAGTCGAGTTTGGGGGAGGTGAGAGTAGGTTTACCGCCCGTTTTCGTTAAAAGTTTTGATTTTTTTTTCGTAACTGTATTTGGATTTTTTTCGTTTTTGTTTAATCAACTGAGGAGTGTTTTGGCAAAATTGACTGACCACAAGCAGAACAAAACAAACCCGGAACGATCAACGACGAACATGTCTTTCACAAGGAGATGTTCGTCGTCCTGGTCCACCGTCCCGAGTTTGTTTTATTCTTTCTGTGGTCAGTTGTGCTTTTTTGTCGTGGGGTATTGTTGCTTCGGGTGATTGCAGTGAGGTCGTCCGAGACGCCGTATATAAGACGTGTACAAAATAAACTTTGTAGCCGAGTGTGATATGTTGCCTGTTCTTTTTCTGTCTTCATTCGCGTGTTTCGTTTTCCTAGCCCAATCTTAGGTTTACCATCATGTTCAACTTACACCAGCTCGCCCACACTTTGACCATTTTTTTCTGTTATCATGTCTGCAGCAAACAGTTTCTTTTGTATTATGTATGAGCAGTGTGTAGTAGTTGTCTGTAGTAGCTTTAATTCGCGTTGGGGATCGGCGATAAACTTGGAACCTTTTCCCGGGCTTGCAGTTCGACGACAAACAGTGTGCCGCTGGGCGCCCGCGGCGCCCCCCTGCGGCGGCAGCGTCACCTGCCGGCCCACCCGCAGGCCATCTTCCACATCGGCGCCGTGGTGAACCCACCGGACAGCACGAGCTACTTCGCGCAGGCCATCGAGGACGCGGTCGCAGAGCACGGCATAACGCTGTACGCGCAGACCGTGCACATGAACTCCAACCCCATCCGCATCGCGCAGAGCGTCTGCGAAAACCTCATCTCCTCCCAGGTAACTTCCACGCCGGATGGAGGCGCTGTGTGCTGCTAAAGCCCCTCTATAGACTTTTGCAAGTACGGCCTCTGAAGCCTCCATTTTGCTGCTACTGTGTCTAGATCGTCTGATATATGGTCAAGCCTAGAACAGGTTAAGCTACACCTTAAAGGAACGACATCTCAGCCTCTTGGTGTCTGAAGTCATATGGTTGCGAATTATTTTGCTTTCCTCAAAAATGCTACAAAAGTACGCGAAAAGGCAAAACAATGTCGCCTCAGCTTCTCCACAATGCATCTTAAGTTCAGGATGGTCGCATTTCTTAATCCTAGCTACCGCCAATTGCGCCCGCTGTGCCCTATGCCCCAAAATGGCGGCTCCCACAAGAAAATCGGGGAAAAGAGTTCCCACTATATTTACTGGCTCTAGTCGGCATTTTGCTAAGGCGTGCCCATGGTTGCCCCTGGCTAGAGCCCAAATAAATATTTTTTTTCCTTTCACGCTGGCCGGACTAGCTTCTGAGGTGTGGCTTCTGTGAGCCGCCAACTTGGTGCTGCCATGTATAGGTCGTCTGGTAGTCAAGCCCACCGACCTCTATTGTAATAGGCTGCATCGCGGATCGGGAGCTTGTCGGTGGCGCCACCAGCGGCCATTTATTGACACCAGGCAATACACGCACGTCTATTGCAAAAACACGCAAAAGTAGGAACTTCGAAGCTTCTACGCAGAGCTCGAAGGCGAGCATTTTATGGTATGCTGCGATCATTACATCGAGTGTTTGGATATGAATCGGTATTTGCCAAGCAAACTTGTAGCTGGCAAGTTTACTCTCGTCGAGGAGTAAACAAAAGAACTTGCCGTCAATAAGGCCGTCCTCGGGGAAGGCCAGAAGTTGGTGAATGTCGAAAAAGTTACATTTTGACAGCGGCTTTTTGGGAGTCAGCGAATTTCGCGTAGCAAGACCTTCAAGTTTGCCGTCCGCTAAACCCAATTTGCCGAAACTGCCACCGGCTCCGCGGTAACTCTATGTAACTCTTATCTCATTCAGCTGCACTACATTTTTCGCCCAGCCGAGTCACTTTTACCGCAAAACACTTATTTCTAAGAAGTGCGAGTGCATTCAGTATTCATGTTTGTGCACAAGCTCTTTGACAAGCACCTCGAAAAGCAGCCAAAAGGTTTCAGGGCCGACAACAGCTTAGAAACAGGGAAAACGGCACTTTTTCTCGTTCTTCCCAGAGATTCCGATGCAATAGCTGGTGTCAAGTAATGGCCGCCGGTGATGCCACTCGTCCCAAGGAAGGCAAGCATCGATCCGCGATCCAGACTACTACAATAAAGATAAAAGGTCAAGCCCTTCAAAGACGTGCCTACGTTGTCAGACTGGTGCCCAAAGAAAGCCTTATCCATCCACGGTGGACAGACTAGCTTTTGAACCCGGAGTACCGACTCTAGGGCTCTGGTACCAACATCTTTTGAAGAGCGCTTGCCATCTTGGGACTATCATGATGGTGGGTGAGTGTCGAAGAGTAAACAATAGATTTAAACGTGTGTGCGCAGCGGAGGAGGAGGAGGAGGAAGAGTGACTGGAGGGAAGGGTAGTGTGTACGCCTTCAGTGCACAATGGAGGCTACGAGCTGATGGCGTCAATCAAGAAACGGCTCGAGCACAGCCGCTCGGAAGTGTTTCGCACGCCTAATTGTCTTGATGGTATCGATTATGCTCCCAGTAGTTCCAGCACGTATACTTCTCCCATGACACTTGGAGCACCAATTACTGATCTTCCTTAAATCAGTTTAACCAACAAAAAGGTCATGGTGTCTCCTTACGGCCAAATTCCATTCTCATTTCTTATGCCACTGAAACAAAATCGCCGTTGAAGCCTAATACCGATCACCTTCTCATGGGTTGAACTGATTGGAAGAACACAAATGCTTGGTGGTTTGAGTGCATCGTGGCACAGGAAACACCCAAGGACTTCCGATAGTGTAGCGTAGTTTAAACACTATGATGGTGTCTTTGTGTGCATAGAAGAGGGCAGTAACAGCAAAGGCTTTGTATCGAGGGTATTGAAGCGGTATGGAGGGGCACGGTTTACTGTACGACGTTTCCTCGTCTATTCTTCCGCAGGTGTTCGCGGTCGTGATCAGTCACCCAGTGTCAGGCGAACTGTCTCCCGCCGCCGTGTCTTACACCTGCGGCTTCTACAACGTGCCGGTCATCGGCATCAGCTCCAGGCACAGTTCACTGTCAGACAAGGTACGCCGACCCGGCCATAGTTTTGCCTTCTGTGTCTTCACATGTTTTTGACTGGCTCGCATTCAGTAGGCGAGCTAGAATCTTCTACCCTCACTTACACATGCAAGAAATTCAATTCCAATTACAATCTGCCCCAGTGACAAGGTTCTGTTCAAATTCAATAAGGTTACAAGGATAAAAAATTTATTTGTTGGAAGGATGAAAGAAAGGACTCGTTAAATAAGTCAAATGCCTACTGTCCAGTCGACACCGATACCACAATAAACCACGTAAATAACCCAAACGTATTACAAAACACTTTGAGAGCGATGCACTGCAGTTTGCTTTCTGCGTGATTTCAAAACGGGCATTGGACCCTGCGCACGTTTGTAGGACTTTGCATTACAGTAAATGCGCTGTATTGTGTAATCGAATCACAACAACGAAAACTCAAGATACAAGTTTTGGTAAGAAATGTTATATGTCTTGGGGACACTTGAAGCGGAAGAATTTGCTTCTACTTAATAGGCACAGCTCACGAAGCAGAGAGCTATATTGCTAAGTTAATACCGCCAACCATAATGTTCACTGTAAGTCAAAGGAAGTTCGAAGTGGCTGTAATATACTCATACTCCTTCGTCTGAATTGCGGATGAGCTTTGCACGCAATTAATCCCACACATAGTTCGCGGTTTGCGTATTCTGCCTTGAAACATTACGTGCCTTGTGGCAAGGAAGCCCAGACCTGCATGAGCGTCATAAAAACACACGTAGCGCTAGATTCATTTATTCCAATGAATCACAAACTATGTATACCACAAGAGGAACACGTCGTGTATGTCTTTTTTTGTGTGTGTGTGTGGGGGGGGGGGGGGAGAGGAGAGGGGGGATTAGGGGGGGGGGGGGGGTAGCAAAAGTTTCTTTCACCTTCAGAAACTGTAGGTGGTCCAAACGGTTCAAGTCACTTACGTGTATGGGCACGCTTCGTAAAAGCAAAACCAAAACTCTAATCTCAACAGCCTGGTTCGTTACGTCAAAGCTGCCGCCATGCATCGAGGGAACCTTGGTCTTTCTACACGTGCGAGAACCTCTCACCGGAGTTCTGCGCCTGCTGAGCACGATACGTCTCGGACACTGCCGCGGCGTTGCCTGTCCTCTATAAACAAACATTACCGCCTTCACGCATGCGCCGAACGCTTCGTGAGATCGGTCTCTTTGGTCGTCGGCTCCTGCACCGTGATAATATTTCCACTCAAGCCTTTCAATTATGACCGTATTGCGCATTCACAGAACGGCGGGTAATGCGCTGCCGAGAGCGCGGCCCACGTTTAGTCCACGCAGAGGGGATATCGAGCGGAGCAAGCGCGCCGCTAATTACCTTTGTGCGAAGTTCTCCGGTCGATCGATGCTGCTCAGGTACTCTAATTGCCTATTATGCAAGCCTGAATGCATCGTGTCACTCCCCGTAAAAGTGATGATCCGGTCATTGTTACGGATTGTTGGTTTTCACAAAAAACGCCGCGTCGCGGCCTCATCCTTGATGGCATACTTAATTCCCAACCGCCGACGTCGCTTCGAGCAACAGATGCCAATGACCTGATTTACCGCACTTTCAAGGATCCTTTCGTTGGCCTTATAAATAGGGATATGAGTTTTCGTTTTTATTTCTTAATTCGGCATACTTTTTTCGTTTTTTTAGGGACATGTTCGGTTGTTTTTCGTGAATCTGGGCATAGAAATAACATTCTACCTTTTTTTTCCAGTGAATATGTAAGCATTTCTAACAAAAGTCAAGAGCATATGGTCTTTGTCTTGATTTTATTCCTGTGAGCGCTGTGTGATCGCTAATTGATTGGGCCTAAATTAAGGATGGAAATAAATTAAAAAAAGGCACGTTTCTTTGTGAAACTTTTCCACTACTAAAATAACGAAGAGAAATGCACAAACACTCACAAACGACCAAAACATAAATTAAGTCTCCACTCAGCAAACAATTTGGCTTCAAATCAGCACCACGACTACTTAATTTGATTATACTAGACATGTATTTTCCCAAGTTTTCGCCATTAATGCGCACCCGTTTTTTGCGATTAATAGCCCTCAGTTTTGAAAATTCCCAGTCAAAATTTGCACTGATATCGTTTTTCATTAAAGTTCAGTTGAGAGTCAGCGCTTGTCTTGTGTTCACTTCTACTTTTTCACTTTTTTTTTTTTTGCGCGCTGTTTTTTCTTTTGTTAGTATGAACCAACTACCCCACATCGCCACCCTAATACGTAACTTTCAGCTTGGCGTGACTTGCGGACTTTACATGCTCTCCAAGGTGCACAGTGGCCCTACCCTGGTCTTAACCCTCGTGCTGCAGTCCTTAGAAACAAGAGAACGATCATCCTCGCTGTAATTGCCGTCGTAAGCATACGCTTCAAAATCGCGAATATCGCAAAACAATCCTCGGCACGTTTCTTTTTTTTTTTTTTTTAGTTATGAGTCTTAATTAGTTGAGTTTGCATACTACGAAAGCAGAGGAGAGCTTCAAGCTTGTAAGCACTAAGTAAAAAGGAAGAGTTGGGTTCTTACTGTTCACTTTCATATAAGAATAGCTCAAAATCAATTTGTTTCTTTGAAGACCAAGTCACTTAACACACAAAACTATGACAAGAATTCAATAGCTTTCACCCTTCCCTAGAAAAGTCGTTGTTGAGTTTTGAATCATTTTGCAACTTAACAACGGATTATCCCGAAAACAAACTGGTAACTTGACAAGTGGTCGCGAGTTCAATGATGGATGAATAGATGGATGGATGGATGCTTTTTTAACGGGAGGTAGTTTGGGCCACCTAGCCTAAAAACCAAAAATACTAAAAGGTAGGATTCTTCCACTCGCCCTTCCGCTCTCCATCTTTGTAACTATCATCAGGCAGTGTGGGATATTTCCAGCGTGACCTTTGGAGGGTCGAAAAAAAACAAAACTAAAAGCCTTCTACCCTCTAGGTGAGAAAGTCGCCAGGTTTCCTCTGGTCAAACCTAGTCGCCGCTACCCAACACCAGTCCCACTGGGAGGCAAGGTTGAGACTTTGGGACTAAACCCAATTTTTCTGTGTTCCATATGCCCCCCAGCTGTGCCAGTTATTTTTACTTCATTCAATTTACCTAAAGATAATTTTCACCAATCTTCTAAACACAAATTACTATTCTGAAGTAAAAAGATAAAAAGATAGGCCATACTTTTTAAGGATCCTGACCTTCGATTAAAACCGACTTTTGAAAATTATTCCGACATACTTTTATGGATCTGTTTAGTTTATACCTTAAACGTAGAACCGTACTAAAGTACCTTCGTTCAGTGGATTTCAGTTTTAATATTGGTACGCAAGATGAGCGTCTTGAGAACTTGCTCAGATTTACGGAGTGTGCTTCTTTGAATTACCAAAAAGAGAGGCAAAGGAGAAGGTGGAAAGCACAAAGACGAGGAGAGTAAAGTTATACCTCGTCCTTTCTTAATTCATTTTCGTCTTTTTAAGTTTTACGGCAGTCTCCGGGTTCCTTGCTGACATTTCTTCACGTGCATGCAATCATATACCCGTCCACATTAACATCTGGAAGAATTTGAATCTTTAAATTAATTGTTGAAACTGACACGAAAATTATCAAAATTTGCTGTTTTGCAACTATACGATCTTTATGTTCATGGAACACGGAGACAAGGTCTTTTTGGCCGTTCCTACACTGGCGTTGTACGTTTACTGTTCTGCCCCGTCTTTGACGTGCCATTCACGGTCTTGCAACTTTAGATATCTGCGTTTGAATGTGAACGACTCGTAGTGGGACGCAGAGTGGTAACGCAATCAGTGACAGTAATAACGAACTGTCTAAACTGACTCTAAACCAACTAAAATAATATGGAGCTCTGCCGATGTTCTCCGTCTCCCAAGTCCCAAAGATAACTACAGCCTCTCATTGTAGTGCTGTACGTTGGTTCTAGTTGTGAAGTCGGATTTGTTCTTCTGCTTAACGTCACTTTCCTATAACTTTGTTTTCCATTCCAAAACATTGCAACCGACACCAAACCGTGAGATCGTGTGCGTCAGTCTGTAAGCTGCTCGATAGCACGCCCGCTTATTGGTAGAAATACGGTAGAGGAGGAGCACAAATATGGCGTGGGAACGGGCTTTATGATTGAGGAAACACGAGGCTCGTTCGATTTACCTGCACTTATTGCACCAGTGCAGAACACTGTAGGACAATGTACTTCCGGTACGTGTATTAAGATATGACCGGAAGTACACCGCCCTACACTTTTCTGCGCCGGTGCAGGAGGTCCGGGTAAATCGAACGAGCCCATGGTCCACCAGTTCAGGTGACGTCAGCACGAACCCGCTGCGCGCATGGAGAGCAGGCGCTGGGGCGTGATCTGAAGGAAGTGACGTCGACACATCACAGCTGCGCGTAAAAGGAGCGCCCACTGGCGCGATGTAGAGTTTGCGTAAAGGCTCGTTTACACACTTGCAACCTAGTACGATCGAGTGAGATAAGACCGGTTTCTAATCCTCTTGCGACGGCGTAGGACCAGATGCGCTGCTGCGGAGAAGGTCCTAAGCCGTCGCGCGAGGCTTAAAAATCGGTCGCGTCTCAAACGGCCCTACTCGGTTGCAAGTGTGTGAACGAGCTTTAGGAGAAGCGCGCGGGTGGCGCTGCAGTGTGCTAGAATACGGGGGTAGTGTTGGGACCCGAGCGGCCCAAGGGAGATGCGTGGCGTAGATCGGGACAAGTGTCGACACCGACGCGTCGCTGGTAGGGTGGTAGGATCGTGCAGGTGCGCCGCGATAGGCGGGTTGCAACTTGCGAGCGGTTGCGAACGCCTGACGCAATGCACGCCAAACTTGGCGGGCCGCAGCCACTTTGCACTATCGTCGTGACGATTGCAGTGCCGCTGTTGTTGTCCACTCAGGCAGCCTCACCAGCTCCCATTGCCGAGCCGCGCCGGTCCCAACGCTACCCCGATATTTTAGTGCACCATAGTGGTG